CCGAGGTCGCTAACTTCACGAGAGCGTAATTCCATCAGTTTTCCATCAAATTTTGTTCTTTTGGTGTCAATACAGTCGGGAAAAGATTCTCTATCATTTCATTTTTTTTTTTTAAATTTTACGACACCAGGAGACACCTCAGGATTTGGGATTGCGACAGTCAAGGGGTTAAACCCATGTTCGTTATTGATAATGAAATGAATTACCTCCAAGGTTTTTTTCTAACATAAGCCTGAGCACACCAATTGGAATTGACTGTTTTGGAATAAATTTACATGATCAGCAGCTTAAGAGTCAAACACCCTCCAGGTATTAAGGCTAGCTGGCAAATAGTGATGACAAGTATAATAATTCAGTCAGTTTGCAAAAGAAGTATTCTTTCTGACATTGTTTTGCTCAGTGTTGGACTTTGTTTAATCCTATCAGAGGATACAGTATAAGTACTTGTCATTACCTAGGTAGGGAAGTGAGGTGGTCATGGCTTCTGTGTTGTACCACTGTAACATTCAACTCATCTCTTTCACTGTTTTTGCACCTTCACCTCTTCCACTTATGTTGACATATGCTGTATCCTCTGGTAGGGCTTGTTCAAGCTTAATACTGAGCAAAACAGCCAGGAAAAAAAAATACTTGCTCTATAAATTCTCTTTACTATGCTAAAATATTATGTTGAAAATTTATATATTGTACTGAAGATTGTTTATTTTTTAATTACAGGATGGAGTGCAGTTGAGCTTTCCCCCCACACTGGAGAAAGAAGAGAGAAAAGGAAAACGAACATCTGAGAAAAGTTAGTAACCTTCTAGTATGTGTATTGTTGGTCCAACTGGTGGATTTAATGTGTTCACAAATGTGCTGATATTATCTGTACTGTTATTACAATATTGCATAAAAGTAAATCTTCTATTTTTTGTGTGAATAAAAATTCTTTGTGTGAATAAACAATCAAAATGGAATTCAAGTGTAAAGCCTGAGAACATAACTAATGAACCTAGGAAATGTTTTAGTGCTAGGAATGCCTGCATTGTTTATTCTGGACCCTATTTTGAAATTTGTGTGAAATTGGCCCAATTATCAATTTCTTGTAACTTTATTGAATAGTTGATTGGGTGGTTTCTTGTGCTCAATAAAATGGAAGACATACTAGCAATGTTACCTGTCAAATCTTAAAAATCATTTGTCTCCATTCGGTCCTATCTAACCCGCTCACGCATGCTTGCTGGAAATCCAAGCCCCTCGCACACACAACCTCCTTTACCCCCTTCCTCCAACCTTTCCTAGGCCGACCCCTACTCCGCCTTCCCTCCACTACAGATTTGTATACTCTCGAAGTCATTCTATTTTGTTGAACCTCTCTACATGTCCAAACCATCTTGATAACACCTCCTCAGCCCTCTGGATAATAGTTTTTTTAATCCCACACCTCCTCCTAATCTCCAAACTATGGATTCTCTGCATTATATTTACACTACACATTGCCCTCAGACATGACATCTCCATTACCTCCAGCCTTCTGGTTGCAACATTCACAACTCATGCCTCACACACATATGAGAGCATTGGTTTAACTATACTATCATACATTCCCCTCTTTACTTTCAGGGATAAAGTTTTTTGTCTCCACAGACTCATCAGTGCACCATTCACCTTTTTCTCCTCGTCCTTTCTGTGATTCACCTCATCCTTCATAGACCCATCTGCTGACACTTCCGCTCCCAAATATCTGAACACATTCACCTCCTCCATACTCTGTCCCTCCAATCTGATATCCATTCTTCCATTACCTAATTTTTTTTGTTATCCTCATAACCTTAATCTTTCCTATATTCATTTTTAACTTCCTTCTTACATACCTAAGCAAACTCATCAACCAACATCTGCAGCTTCTCTTCAGAATCTCCCAAAAGCACAGTGTCATCAGCAAAGAGCAACTGTGACAAATCCCACTCTGCTTTAGATTCTTTATCTTTTAACCCCACACCTCTTACCAACACCCGAGTATTTACTTCTCTTGCTACACTGTCTATAAATATATTGAATAACCATGGTGACATCACAAATCCCTGTCTAAGGCCTACTTTTACTGGTAAATAATCTCCCTTTCACCTACATACTCTAACCTGAGCCTCACTATCCTCATAAAAACTTTTCACTTGTTTCAATAACCTACCTCCTATTCCATACATTTGCAACATCTGCCATTATTATTATAAATTATTATCGTAAATTAATAATTTTTTTTTTTAACAAGTCGGACGTCTCCCACCAAGGCAGGGTGACCCAAAAAGAAAATACTTTCATCATCATTCAACTCTTTCACCTCACTCACACATAATCACTGTTTTTGCAGAGATGCTCAGAACACAACAGCTTAGAAGCATATACATATAAAGATACACAACATATCCCTCCAAACCGTCAATATCCCGAACCCCTCCTTTAGAGTGCAGGCATTGTACTTCCCATTTCCAGGACTCAAGTCCGGCTATATAAAAATAACCGGTTTCCCTGAATCCCTTCTAAATATTACCCTGCTCACACTCCAACAGATCGTCAGGTCCCAAATACCATTCGTCTCCATTCATTCCTATCGAACACGCTCATGCACGCCTGCTATAAGTCCAAGCCCCTCGCCCACAAAACCTCCCTTACGCCTTCCTTCCAACCTTTTCGAGGATGACCCCTGCCCTGCCTTCCTTCCCCTACAGATTTAAATGCTCTCCATGTCATTCTACTTTGATCCATTCTCTCTAAATGACCTAACCACCTCAACCCCTCTTCAGCCCTCTGACTAATACTTTTATTAACTCCACACCTCCTAATTTCCACACTCCAAATTTTCTGTGCATAATATTTACACCACACATTGCCCTTAGACAGGACATCTCCACTGCCTCCAACCGCCACCTCGCTGCTGCATTCACAACCCAAGCTTCACACCCATGTAAGAGTGTTGGTACTACTATACTTTCATACATTCCCTTCTTTGCCTCCATAGATAATGTTATTTGTCTCCACATATACCTCAACGCACCACTCACCTTTTTTCCCTCATCATTTCTATGATTAACCTCATCCTTCATAAATCCATCTGCCAACATGTCAACTCCCAAGTATCTGAAAACATTCACTTCTTCCATACTACTCCTCCCCAATTTGATATCCAGTTTTTCTTTATCTAAATCATTTGATACCTTCATCACCTTACTCTTTTCTATGTTCACTTTCAATTTTCTACCTTTACACACACTCCCAAACTCGTCCACTAATCTTTGCAATTTTTCTTTAGAATCTCCCATAAGCACAGTATCATCAGCAAAAAGCAACTGTGTCAATTCCCATTTTGTATTTGATTCCCCATAATTTAATCCCACCCCTCTCCCGAACACCCTAGCATTTACTTCTTTTACAACCCCATCTATAAATATATTAAACAACCATGGTGACATTACACATCCCTGTCTATGACCTACTTTTACTGGGAAGTAGTCTCCATCTCTTCTACACACCCTAACCTGAGCCTCACTATCCTCATAAAAACTCTTTACAGCATTTAGTAACTTACCACTTACTCCATATACTTGCAACATCTGCCACATTGCTCCCCAATCCACTCTATCATATGCCTTTTCTAAATCCATAAATGCAGTAAAAACTTCCCTACCTTTATCTAAATACTGTTCACATATATGCTTCAATGTAAACACTTGATTTACGCATCCCCTACCCACTCTAAAACCTCCTTGCTCATCCGCAATGCTGCATTCTGTCTTGCCTCTAATTCTTTCAATTATAACCCTACCGTACACTTTTCCTGGTATACTCAGTAAACTTATTCCTCTATAATTTTTGCAATCTCTTTTGTCCCCCTTCCCTTTATATAAAGGGACTATACATGCTCTCTGCCAATCTCTAGGTACCTTCCCCTCTTTCATACATTTATTAAAGAAAAATACCAACCACTCCAACAATATATCTCCCCCTACTTTTAACGTTTCTGTCATGATCCTGTCAGTTCCAGCTGCTTTATCCCCTTTCATTCTATGTAATGCCTCACACACCTCCCCCACACTCACATCCTGTTCTTCACTCCTAAAAGATGGTATACCTCCCTGTCCAATGCATGAAATTACCGCCTCCCTTTCTTCATCGACATTTAAAAGTTCCTCAAAATATTCTCGCCATCTACCCAAAGCCTCCCTCTCCCCATCTGCTAACTCCCCTACTCTGTTTTTAACTGTCTAATCCATTTGTTCCCTAGGCTTTCTTAACTTGTTTAACTCCAAATTGTTAGGGCTTCTAGACACAATAACATAGTGATAGTAGGGGACTTCAACTTTAGTCAAATTGACTGGAATTCTTTGACAGGTAATCTTGAGTCCAGTGACTTTTTGGAAACAGTTCAGGACTGTTTCCTGAAGCAGTGTGTAACAGAGCCTACCAAGGGTAATAATTTGCTAGACCTAGTCTTGTCAAATAAGGAAACACTCGTAAATAATCTGGAGATCACTGAAGAGCTTGGTGCAAGTGATCACAAATCCATCGCTTTTAGCATTAACTGGGAATGCAAGAATAATGATAATACATTAAAAAATCCCTGATTTCCATTCTGCCGATTATAATGGACTTAGAGAACAGCTGTCTAATCTTGATTGGGGTTATCTAGTTTATGATTTTATTGACGATGATCATACTTATGATTATGTAGGGATCTGCTTTTATGATTTTTTTCTTAATAATGTACACCGTGCCCAGAATATATACATTCCCCAGAGAGAAATTAGGTCCAATAATAACGATCCCAAATGGATTAACAGTAGACTAAAGCATCTGTTAGGGGAGAAAAGGGGAATTTATAGACACATCAGAAGAGGAGAGGTTAACCTTACTGACCAATATGTTCAGCTTAAAAGAGAAGTAAAAAAGGGGATTAGAAAGGCTAAACGTGACTATGAAATTAGAGTTGCTAATGAATCAAAGACTAATCCAAAGGGGTTCTTTCAAGTGTATAGGACGAAGGTGAAGGAAAAAGTAGGACCTCTGAAAATTGGGAATGGACAGCTGACGGATAACGAACTGGAAATGTGTTCTTTATTTAATGACTATTTTTTGTCAGTTTTTACACAGGAAGATGTAAATGAGATTCCAGTAATTAACAATTATTTAGTTCATGATGAATTTAAATTAACTAATATTACTGTCACGAGGGACATGGTTATTAAACAGATAGACAAACTGAAGCAAAAAAAGTCCCCCGGACCCGATGAGTTGTTTTCCAGGGTACTTAAGGAATGCAAGATGGAGCTTAGTCAGCCATTAACAAGTGTATTTAATGCGTCCGTCCTTACCGGTGTTGTGCCAGAGTTGTGAAAGATGGCTAATGTGGTTCCTTTATTTAAATCAGGGGATAAGTCCATTCCTTCAAATTACCGTCCAATAAGCCTGACATCTATAGTGGGCAAGTTATTAGAATCAATTATAGCTGACATTATTAGAAGTCACCTTGAAGAGCATAACTTGATAAATGAATCTCAGCATGGATTCACGAGAGGTCGTTCCTGCCTGACAAACTTATTGACGTTCTTCAATTGAATATTTGAGGCAGTTGACAGTGATAAGGAATATGATATTGTTTATTTGGATTTTAGTAAAGCCTTCGATAGAGTACTTCACAAGAGACTCTTAAGAAAAGTGGCAGCTCATGGTATAGGAGGTAAAGTTCTAGCATAGATTGAGGCATGGCTTACCAATAGAAAGCAGAGAGTTACCATTAATGGAGTGAAATCTGAA